TATTTTATTCGCACGCGGCTAATGCCAAAACACATAAATCTGGTTGCCGAAATAAAATATTTAGAATTTCGAAAGAGGGCGCTGAAAAAAAAAAGTTCGCGCACGATGGAGATGAAGTGAAGAGGCGCGAGGGGCGCACGCGAATGCCACTTAATAATAAATAGGCCGATTTGTCATTTCACTCATTCAAATTCTCACAAGAGATACAGCTAACAGGTTACGTGTGTACTTACATTTTTACAGTCTTTTTCTCGTGTGCATTTCTCTTGGCTTGATAAATGTGACGCTATCAAACATAAAAAAAACACATATAAATTTCTTTTCGAGTTTGAATTTGTGTTTTTTTTTATCTTCTGTTTCGACATATCGTATTCACTCGTTCAGTTATCGTCGACAACTCTCTATTCCACATTCGAATCGTGAAATTCTAAATAAATAATCTCTGTTTCATTGTGAATATTTGATGAAGTGATTTTTTCTCCTTTTCCCCATTGCCTTCGTCGCCGTCGTCGTTCGATTTTTGTCGACCAACTGAGGTTACGAAACGATAAATGTCAGCCGGTTTCCGCAAATTCATCTCAATTTGATAAAACGTGTACAGAAGTATTAAACGCCAAACGAAAAAACGAACACCATCAGATAAATTTGCCATTAATTTTTTTTGTTCCAACTCTCATTTTTTCTCTCTCCTGGCAGCAAACGCTATAAAATACCCGTGACCGCGGCGTGATACTTTGGCCCTTTTTGTCCCCGAAAAACCATGTCAACCAAATGTGTGAGCGTATGTGTGTGTGTGCCGTGATTCACTTGCATATGAATTAATTAGTTGCAATGTAATCTTTTGACTTACGAACTTCGCTTTTGATATGACACTCGAAGCACCCAGAACTTCTTCGCCTTTTTTTATTCGCTCTTTCTTTCTGGCTCATTTCGTTTCGGTTTGGTGTGTAAATGAATTTATGTTTATGTTCGGCGTCGAATGAACGGCCATTCTGGGCCATTTTCACCACACACTCTCTAGGTATCGGCCATAGTCGTTGCCACTCATTTGTGGCTAACTGTAAATTAGACGGTCATGATATAAACGCTCTCGGCCTAAGGTGGCGGCGAAAAAAGGAAACGGATTTTTCCTTTGCTGACGCTCACTGAGGAAAGAGGCCGCTTTGAAGTTTGACCAAAATGCCATCCATAAAGTATATTTTAATGTTTCCTACTCGCCGCCACTGAAGAACTCTCTCTCTCTCTCCGCGCGCATTCTAACTCGCTCACTTTTTTCCATGAGTCGGTTTCACCTTCTCTTTTTTCGCCTCGACCATTTTTGCTTCTTTTTTTCTCGGCCTTCTCATTTCGGTCGCTCTTTTAGCTCACACTTGTCAGACCGCCACCCAAACGAAACCAGTTAGTGTAAATTATTTCTATCGCTTCTCTTTGTGAGCCACTTTTTTCTTTCTCTCTCTCAACGGTTGTCGCCGTGGCTCAGTCAACATTTAAGTATGTGTGTTTTTTTCGCCGATATCCTTTTTTACATTTCAAATTCGAGAAGAAAAAAAAACACAGTAACCAACAATATTCTATAGTGAAAATGAAAACAAACAACCAAGTTTGTTTTTTCGGAAATAAAGAGCGGGAAGTTGTTGAACAAAGGGACCGGTTTTTGTCTTTCTCTCTCTCTCTATCTCTCTCTCACACACACACACGCTCCCTCTCCAAAAACATTAACAGCAAGACATAAGATAGCGAAATTTAAAAAAAAACACAACAAACGAACGAAATCAAACGGTTAACTAACGAACACACAAAAATAACAAAACTAATTTAAAAAGTTTGAAGTTCGATACAGACGACAACGACGACAACAACGATTACGTGGACAGTGCACAAGTACATTCGTTTTATTTTTACAATGCTGATGCAAAAATAAAGAAGTTGCTAAAGCCGAAATGAAAAACACATAATAATAATCAACGAGCACGTTGTTGAAAGGACTGTAACTGAATGTGAAATACAAACGAACTGCCGAAAAACAACGAATTCAAAACGGAACAACAACAAAAAAGCAAACAAACGATGCTACAGCAACAGCAACAACACCGGAGTTCGGCCAAATGAAAAACCGAAAAGCTGAAAGGCATATGCATATAAAACGGTCAGTGTCAACTCTGACGCAAGTATCTGTTGTACACACACCGGGAGAGAGAGAGAGAGAGAGAGAGAGAGAGAGAGAGATAAAAGCCGAGTCCGGAGGTCTTCAAGTGTTTCGCCACTTCAACGAGATGTGACACAAAAAGTGCACTTAAAATCCGTGCTTACGAGCAACAATTCAGAACACAAACGAACAGAGAAAAAACACCGAGAACTTCAATATTCAAGAACTCCCGAAGCATCTAAGTTTTGTGTATGTGTGTTTGTTTCACACGGCGCATCTATCGTTGATTTTTCTTTCTCTCTCGTTCTCGCCGCTGTTCCAATGATTGTGCACCGGTTTGCCTTGCACCGTTGTCACACTGAAAATTTAATGAATTTGCAAGCACAGCAAAACGTAAATTCCAACGGGCAAATATTATAAATTGCATTGGCAAACGCAGCGCAGTGGCGTTGGACGGGGACACAACGATGCTGACAATAAATTTGCAATCGACACTCGATCACCTTGCGAATTCGATTTCAATTTCATTTATTCGCGTAACTTTGCATCGATTTGCATAATCGATGACAAACCGTGGTCGATTTAATCCATAGCGATTCATTTTTCGGTGTCTACTTTTCACTCTCTCACTCTACCTTTCTGTTCATTGGACAGTGTTCGTCTTTCTTTCTGTTTTTCTTCGCTTTCCTCTGATGTTTTTCACTCATCGACAAGGATGCGCTCCGTTTTATTTTCTACTTGTCTTCGTCTATTTGTTTTATTCTCGGTCGAAAAAGATGATTTTTCCACACCAAAAACATACAAAAATCGGCATTGCGATATAAGCTAACAAAATCAACATTCAATTACGAAGATTTGTCACGACAATCTCTCATGGCTCAAGAGCTAATTTTGCATTCGAAACGACAAACGATGACTGTTCCCATTCGTAAGCGCTCTGGAGCGGCGCGCACACACACACACAAACATGTTATAAAACACTTAAGTAGTGAATCACATTTAAATATTTACACTCATAGCATCAGTCACATATTTGGAGAGTGAGAGTGTGAACGGAGAAGGACTGTGGACGAAGTGCCGGCAGCAGCAGTAGCACTGCTTCGACCGTGCCGAGTCGAGCTGAGGAGAGAGAATAGTAGGAAAAATGAATTGATGTGGTTTCCATCACGACATGCGATAACAATGCGATTGATAGATGGAACGTGATTCCGAATGTTGTTGGCTTTGGCTTTCGTGGGTATATTCCGTTCTGTATTTTCGCATGCAACTCGGAAACTTGGCATTCCAACGACAACGATTGTTTGACCATAACGGAAATATGACCTGATTTTTTTTTTCGTGTGTGTGTACGATTTTATAAATTGGTTTTTGGTTTCGAAGCCATTTTTGTTGTTTTTTTTTTCCCTTTGAATGGGATCATTTTTCAATGCGAAACATTCGGCCAATTACACCACCAATTGTTGCTTGCTAAGTAAAAAAGAAGCAGAAGAGCCACACCGGCGAATTCAATTGGGACAAATTTTAAGTTATGAGCAGCGGTTACTTTTATTGCTTGGCCATGAATAGAATGATCACAGCCACATCATAATGTGCTGACGGAGAAGGGAAGCAAAAACAACAACCACATATGATACTCTCATGACACACTGTATCATTTGCAAAACTCGAGATTCTTTTGTTGCTTGCAATTTTTTTCAGTCGACGAGAGCCAAATATTTGTCGCATCGAAGACACACACACACACAGAGAGTGATATCTGCGTTATCAATTCGGGGTCTTACGTCTATTCAATAAATGCATACGTTTTCATTCTGCTCATGAATATGAACGCCGCTTTCAGCCACTTTACATATGCACATACCCGACACACACATACACACACGTATTCATTTCTTTCTAGCTGTTCGATACACATACATTTCGCTCGACTTCCGTTAACCATTTCCACCATGAAACATGCAGTTTTCATTCGCCACGCTCTCTACCTCCATTGCTCTTCCTCTTGCTCGTTCGTTCGATCTTTTTTTTGGTATTTTTCGGTCGTTGCCATGTGTGTAAGATGCTTGGCGTGTTCTATTTTGCATTTGCTGGGCCCATTCATTATGGTCGGGCATGCATGGTGACAATCTTCTTCTTTTCCTTTCCGAGCCAGCCGAAAGCTCACATTCATGGCCATTGCCTCTGAACAAACGGTTTCGAGGTTGTTTTTCTCTCCCGTTCGCTTTTCGGGACAAATTGTTTGTTTATGTTTTGCAAATGTACATTTTTTTGTTCCTTCGTTAAACCAAAAAGAGCCGAAAAAGGAACGAATGTAGCACATTTTTAATTCGCAACCGAAAAGATCTATTGTGTACATGCAGCTCCGAAAAAGAAACAGAATATTTAGAGTCGACAAAAATGTTGCAAGCACACACAAAGCTTATCAGACCAAAAAAATGGTTGAAGAAACGCTTCTGACGATTGCAAAAAAGAGGGAAAAACGCAAAGCATATGGAATCGAGAAGAAAATTCACTGCGTGAATGTGTATTTGTAGCAATGGATGTGCTTTTGCTGGAATAAATGATATCTGCGCGTTCAATTGACGAGATATTCGATATGTATGCTGAAAATGTTGCGATCATGCGGCTCTGTGTGCCTTGATTTTCAAGAAAAAAACTAAAAAGGGTTTTCAGAAGAAAATTAAAGAATGAAGTGATTTATTAGTAGTAGAGGAAACACTTTTTATTTACAAAAACGCTAGTTCTAACTAAAAAAAATCCAATTTTTCTGACCAAGTCTCCGGAAAAATGAAAAAATTTCCTTAAAAAAACATTTCTCTAAAATCAAATCAATCTTTTCTTATTTTCTTTCCAGGAAATTGCTGCGTTGTTAATCAGTTTCGACAAGCATTCCGAATGGCAATCAAAAGAAGTGCGAACAAGGTGAGTTTAATCGAAAGCATAGCTGATGCAATCAAAATTAATGTTTGTCAATCATAGCATGGAATTGATCTGTGGTTGGTTTTGTCACGCTCATCATGTCCAATATGCAAACCGCATTTGAAATGACAACCGATTTATGTTCGTCGAAATGGAATGTTCCGCGACAAGTGGGCGCATCACGAGTTTATCCCATCGATTGGAGTCTCATATACTTGAGAGCATCTCAAGTGGAGATGAGCAAATGATTTGTTTTCTCGTTCAAAAATCAAAACCGAACGCCTGCAAAAACGAATGACTTGTCATTATTGCACGGAGAAATGAAACGACGGGGCATGGATTGTATTAAAAATGGCCGTTGAGATCGTTCTAACATGCCGAAAGCATCATCGATGAATGAATTTGCCCAAGGCCTATTGGCTCTTACAAAGTCGACACATCGATATAGTGCAGCAAACGAGCGGGAGCATGCATATTTCAAAAATCCAACAAATGACCTCACGTTTCGGTCATAAATCGACTGAAAAATTTATAAGATGTCACACGCGCTCCATCTCTCCTTCCACGTTTCGTGTTTGTTTTTCTCCTTCTGTTCGAAATCGAAACAAATAAGAATAGCCAATCGAGGCGATAAAAAACGGTATATTGAAGAAAAACAAATGGCTGAAAACTGTTTCGATTCGGCTTATATGGAACAAAACAAAAAGTTCACCGAAAAGAAATCGGCTCGACACTTGAGTTTCACTTCTCTTTCTCGCAGTCAATTCAATTGGCTTTATCTAGCCCAGCATTGGGCTCATTTGTATCACATTCGATTCCCTTCGATTTGTGTGAGCGAGAGAGAGAGAGAGAGCGAGAGAAATAGGGAGAGGGAGAGGGAAAGAAACATCCAAAAGAATCGGCACACGAATTTGCCTGCTGTGTTCAAATTAATGGATCAAATGTGCTGCATTTTTGTGTGTATAATTTGAATTTGGCCACTTTAACATCGAACTATGCTGGAGAAAAAAAATCCAGGATAAACGCAAGGAATAAAGAGATCGTGTGTCGCGAATGTCATTTCGCGTCGAATAAAATCAGCACCGAAAATATGATGCTCCATCGAAAAATATGCCCGTAAGCAAAATATGTGTGTGTTGTGCAACACAAACCTCGAATCGAATCTGCAGTTCGAAGTTCAATTTAAGAGTAAAAATTGCACTATTGTCGTCGTCTTCGTTGGCGTTCGACGTTGCTGCTGCTTTTGTTGCTCTTGCTGCTATTGTTGTTGAATGTGTGCCCCGTTGATTTTTCACCGTGTTAAATTTTTAATGCGACAGTAAAAATGGGGAAAAATGACGTGATTAAAAACGAAACACACACACACATACAACGCTGAAAATTGTCAAAGCCAAAGTTTTGTATCGAAAGCGCGCATTTCGCGACGAAAATAAGCCATAAATTCCGAAGGCAGCGAGCGATTGAGCGCATGGATTGCAATTTGTCGTTATTTTCGATTTATTGAGCTAGAGACGGAGAAATGAAGTGGAGAGAGAGAGAAAAAAAAAACGCACACAAAAGACAAGCAATGTGCCATAAAGTAAAAACGTAGTACCTACGCAAATAAGGCAATCACGAAGTAACAACAACAACAAAAGCCAAGCGAAAACAGATGAAAACAAAAGAATTGCATTTTATCGAATTTGTAAATAATTTGTTGTTTGCGATGTTTTCTCTGGACGGGGCGAAATGCTCGCGTTCATTCGATATATGACAAAGCGGTACGCGAGCGACAGAAAATCGCACATTTGGTTTTTGAGTTATATTTGTTTCGTGCAGCGACGACAACAGACAACGGCACCAAAAAAAATAAAATGAAATTCCAACGGCAGAAGAGAAGAAAAAAAAATATCAAAGAAATAGAGAATGAGCCAAGGGAGAAGAACGCGCGCACTGGGTGTGTGTGTTTACACTGAGCAGAGCTCACCAAATGCCATACGTCGTCGACGTTTCGACAAAACACACAACACAATAAACTCGTAAAATGCACTCGGCTGCATAGTTTTGTGTATTTTTATTGACATTTTTCCCATAAAGATTATGGATATAAATAAAGTTAGTGCGCGCACATCGTCGATTACACTTTATACATTCGACTTTAAGTTGCCATTTCTCTTCGATGCGATGATATGGGGAAGGAGAATGGGATAGAGAGAATTCTCGTGAAGACGGGGCAGATTCATTTCCGTGCTCGTTTTTGTTTATACTTTGTACTTTCTTTCTCACTCTCTTCGCTTGCATTCGATCACTATCTTAGTCGCTCTCTCTCTGTAGCTTCAGTCCTCCCTTCTTCCCTTCTCTTTCGATGGAAAGAGTGCCGTCGGTCGGTAATTTGATAGTTTGTACGATGGAACAATAGAATGATGATCGGGTGGAGGAGTTAAAGAGTGAGGGAGCTGATGCGCGCGCGAGAGCTTGACATGCAACTAATAGTGCAAACGCGAGAGGAAGAGTCCTTGCAAAACCACCTCGCAAAAGCTTGAAAAAGCAAAAGAAACTATGTTTATCGTCTCATATTTCAAGCAGCTTATGGAATGACATGTTGTTGAACAACAATAACAACTTGTCATCTCAAAAAATATTTAATTCGTATTGCCAGTAATAAATGTCAATTATGTGTTCTTCTTTTTGTGCTTTGATGCTATGCAATGGTGACGATATACATACACTTTCCGCACACACGCCCCACTCACTCACTCACCGGCATTCAATGTCAACCGTATTATTTTTGATATGCTGTTAATCTTTTGCTACTCTTCACTTGGTCGTTTCACTTCCATTCAAGCTGCCTTTCGGTTTTCTCATTCGCCCTCTCCTCTCGCTTCGTTTCCAGTCAGACGACGTGTGACGCGCTTGAGTTTTATGCATCGTGTGTCCCGTCATCATTGTCATCACCACCCTTTTTCGCCAAAACAAAAGGATTTTATGGCGAACGTCGATCGTAAACGATTGTGATAGAGCTCACCGATTCCTCCTCCACACTCAGTGTCGTCTGCACATGAACGCGCGTGACTCTGTTCGTCCAGAAAATAATAAATGAATTCTCGGTACACGGTCAATTTGCTTCCTTCAACACTGTTTATCAAGCCAAAACTAATCGAATTAAGAGTTCGAACCAGCACATTTATTTGATCCAATTAGGTAGTTTCATCGTTCGCCCACACAAACACGCTCTCATACCTCGACTCATCCTCCTCTCCGTGCTTCGTTCCTTGCTCTAAACACTCCGTCGCTGCGTTAAGAGTTCATCAAACAACCGGCAACTGGTGAAAGCAAGAGAAAATTGAACAAAAAAAAGCAAAATGACCGATTACACTTGTCACACTCTTTTGTTTGGCAATTTCATTAGGTTCTTCGGTTTTATGTCACTTTGTTTCCGTTTTTATAAGTTTTTTGCTTCGTTCATCGGCGGGACGGCGATTGTTCGTTTGGCGTAAACAATGTGTGGATTCATCGTGAGAGAGAGTGAGAGCGAATAAGTAAGCAGGAAAGCAAGAGAGAGAGAGAGAGAGAAAGATGGAGAAAGAGTGGGAAAGAGAGCAAGATTGAGAGCCGTAAAGATGACAGCGAAAGCAGTTCGGATAAATGATGTGTGAAGTTGGTGTTGTCGGTCGTTTGATATGTGATGCCATTCAGCCGTCGTTTCGACGAACCGACCAAAATTTATTCGTGCACGAAATACACTATTCGTTCCCTCTCGAACGTTAAACAACTTATGATTTTATGATAAATTGCCGTGTTTATCATCACTTGAGCGAACCAACAGAGTGAAAGAGAGGCGAAAAGCGAACCAGAAGAGAGTCAAAGAGAGGAAAAAAGCATCCGAGAAGGGAAAGAACCGAAGAGAGGGAGAGAGTGAGAGAGAGAGAGAGAGAGAGAGAGAGAGAGAAGCGGTAGTATGTGATGTAGTAGTTCAACTCCAAACGCACCATGATTTAGTGGGCAAAGTTTTCACAATCATTCCGTCTGTCTGATGAATCATAATAATAATGATTATCGCATCACATCAACGAAATGTGAATAAAAGTTGCGAAATATTTTACCCTTCAGTCTTTGTTCCGCAGAAAAAAAAAACACATCACTATGTTTCTACTTGTGTTACACACACATACACACCTCATCAGCACGTGCTGATTTCGTTCACCATTGGGCCCATTGAAGCGGCAACAATCAAATAGACAGGCTAATCGGTGGCAAAGGCCGATTGACTTTTATAAATTGGTCCGAAGGGGTTTCAGTTTCGAAAAAATATTGGAAATTACGCATCATCAAAACGAAAGTGCTATTGTTTTTCATTCTCCCGATGGAAAATCTATATCATCATATCAACTTATTTCAAAGGCGATAATATTATTTTGAAGTGTTATTGCTCTCCACTAATCCTATAATTCGTTTGTTTGTTTTTTCCAGGCCAAAAAGTGGTTCGATGCTATTGTATTCGCGGAAAAAAGTGCGGTATCGACGTGACGGCTACTGCTGGAAGAAGCGAAAGGATGGCAAAACTACACGAGAGGATCACATGAAATTGAAAGTTCAAGGAACAGAAGTGAGTAGCTTTTTTCTTCGTCGTTTGTAACATTTCTTAAAATACAGTGAATGATTTATTTGGATCGATTGAAGAAGGAGCAAAAACTAAATCCGATTGAGATGTGAAAAAAAAGTTCTTCGGAATGTACTTGAAGTAAGAGTGAGAGAGAAATGAGTTAAAGGGAGTGAGAGAGAGAGTCATCTAATTCGATTAGTTGATCGGATGCCACAAAAATCCAAATATTTGCTTTCGAGGGTGCAAATGGAGAGAAAAAAAACGAGTCACTGCAAATCGGGAGTGCGCACCAGCTCACGAAAACCAATTCAAATACCCGGCCAAATCAGCCGCATTCGATTGAATCGGAATGATAAGAGGCATCATCCTCAGCATGAAATGAAGATAGAGCGCGCCAAATAAATAACAACACACGCTGAAATGAATTCGTTAAAATGGTTCGGTTGAAGCCAAAGCAGCAGCACAGTGAGCCAAAAGATTTATCGGATTGCGTGACAAAATTCAAGATTCGCGCGCGACCGACCGCCAACCAACAACGGAAAAAATTGCATATGTGAACATGCCGTTTGCTGCCTCCGCCGCCGCTAGCACCAAGCAACGAGCACACAACCAAAATGAAATATGTTCGTGGCGAGACGCTAACAAGACAAAGATGACATCGAGATAGAATTTTGAAATCGCTGCTATTTCATCGCAAAGAATAAGAAGTAGATGATGATGAAAAAAAAATCGTTTGTTTCCGTACGCATATGCATGCACAAAACGGCACACATACACACGATTTGATACTCATAAATCAGTGGCATTTCGACTTTGGGCCAATATATTGTCTTTTTCTCGCGCGCTCTCTCTCTCTCTTTCTCTCCGTGTGTGCATGCTTTTTTCTCCAGCTGGTCGGCGTTTTTATTCATTCATTTCCATCTGTCGCCGTCTAAGGCGCTGGTGTGTACCATACTTGCTCATAATAATCCATACCCGGAACAAAAAACCAAACAACACTCATCCCATTGGCTGGTGGCGCGAAGTAGTGTCTCGATTAATCGAATTGTTTGAAATATGCTTAACAGGGGGATCCGCTTTTTTTTCTTCCACATTTGTTGTTGTTGTCGTCATCGTCGTTGAAAACAATACGAGAGGATGACAAGACAAAACAAAGTGAGAGTGAGTGAAAAAGCAGCAGCAGCAAAATAAAGTACAAAGTCAAACATGGAAACAGTTCGTGTCTATCTTTGTTTCGAGTGGAAATTACATTAAGATTCGATTTGTGGTATTATCTTGGAGAGTGTTTCAATGTATGCATATGCGTTTTTTTTTCTTCATTTCATCGTTTTATTCACGAAAAATACAATCGATGGCACACAAAAACGTACAGATTCGTTGGCGGCACCGCATATTTCGTGCATTGTATTTTCTTCTCTGTGAAAATTGTTCCGACGATTCACAATTTTTATCTCAGAAATAAATTCACACATCTCTGTGAGATGGTTGTGACTCTCGCTTAGCAATAAGACGAAATATATAGCTTGTTTTTTTGATAATCTATTGCCATTTTCCGGGCTCCCACAAGCAATTATCGATATATATTCCATAGCATTTTAGACTTTTTCTCTTCCCCCTCTTGCTGCCCGTTTTTTTCCCATCATGAGATATGTTTCGAAATAACAATCCGATTTGAAATGTAATTGCTGTGTGTAATTGAATGTTCTCTGTTTTTGAATGCATTGTTAATTTGATGAATAAAGCCCACCCTCCATTCAAATACACCTTCTATCGCCTACGACATGTCACCGCTATTCTGAATGAATTCTTTGGAAAACGAATTCTCGAAATGATATGTGGTTTGAAAAAAAAGAAAACAACAACAATTCATCTGGTGTGTGCCTCCGACCAATTTCAATGGCATTGCGTTCAGAAAAAGTGACAATGAGCGTGAATCTCTTATTCTTGGATTAAATCTTGATCTTTAAAAATTGGTCGACATTCATTTCTGCCAAAAAATGTTTGTTCAAAACAACACATTTGGGAGAGTGTGTGTGTGTTTTTTTCGCTCTTCGCCCTCTCTATTTCTCTCTTCGTTTCTCTCGATAGACGGGATTTCTCTCTCACTGTGAGCGATGCTTTCGCTATCTTTGGGAACTTTACATTACCCAAGTATTACTCATTCGATGCGTTTTATTCGCTTCGTTCGTATCGAAGAGTGTCTTATTGAAGCTGATGACGACGATGGTGGTGTTGGTGTTGGTTCGAGGAAAAAAAATCATTTTTAGTTTGTTTGGTGAGATAAACGTTTGCTCGTTTAATAAATTGCATACTCAAGTTATTGAAATTTTCATGTTGAAATTCCCAACTTGGAGCACTTAAAAGCAATGCTTACCCATAATGAAGTTTTTTTTTCGAAAGCAATGCGAAACACTTTGGCAAACGCTTCGATTGATTCGATGGCATTGAAAGAGAGATGGTAGTTGGTGGGGTTATAACCCGGTTATAATTTAGAGTTTTCATAGTAGTTCAATCGTCGTTGAATCGAATCGAAACGAAAAAGAAGAAAAAACCGTGGCAAAATTGCTCGACAACAATGAAGCGCGTTTGGAATGAGAGAGAAAGCACGGAGAGTAATAAAACATTTTAGTTTCATCGACGAACGGGATAATAAAGCATTGTAGCGAACGCCGAAGCATGCCAAAAGTTTGTTTTTTTTTGCGCTTGAAAAGCAAAAGTAGGGAAGAGAAAAACAACGGAGGGTATTCCATTGAAAAATTTAATGGAATTTAACACCTGATCATCGATGTGTGATTCAATTTCGGGCGAATAATCGAATCAATCTATTAATTTAGCGTCGACATTTCGACAACAATGAAGAAGAAAAAAAAACAACACAGAGGGCAAACAGGAGGTCGCAAGAGGAGAGTAAAAGAGAAAGAAACCCGATGTGATCAGCACGGAACTCACTATTTGTTCACCACGTCTCCGTTTCGCTGGCAATTACTAATTTATCGATATTTACAATCACTTTATCACTCGTAAGCTCGTTTGTTAGCTGTTCCATCGTTGCGATTTCTTACGATTTTCTTGCGCTTCACTTTTCCTCTCGCTTTCTCTTTTTCTTTCATATTTTTTCTCCATTTCTTCAAATCTGCTTCATGTCCCTTCACTCTCTTTCACTCTCCTTCGCCCCCTTCTTCACTCCCTTCGTCGTCACTTTTTTCTTCGTCAGTTTCGCGCGCGTTCCTTTGATTTACAGCTATGAGTTCAAACATGACGTTCGTTTGGATTTTGGTTCATTCAGTGACGCGCGCGCGCGCTTCTCTTCATCTTCACTTCGACGTCCAACACGAAGTGAGTGTTTGAGAAAAAAGAGTGCCGCTTAAATCAACAGCGCAACATATCGAAAATGCCTGGCTCAAAGTGAGTGTTTGTGTGTGTCGATCGACTGAACAAACCATGTTTGGCAAAACTTGACTCTTTCGCTGTGTGCCGAACTGAAAATGGCAACTCACTGCCATAGTCTCAGTTCATATATTTTGTCGTTTCTTGTCTATTTTTTTCTATTTTCTCTCTCTCTCGCTCTCTCTCGCGAGCATTTTTCTGATGTGGCGATGCGTTGCGCTTATTTTTGGCTGACTTTTCGCTTATTCGATGTTGGTGTTTTTCCCTAGTTTTTGATTCGCGTGTAATAGAGAAATACGCGTGCGGCTCATACTTATAAGTTGAACAACAGTGAGTGTATATTTTATCAGCACAAACACCAAGTGCCATTCCATTTTTCTCCATTCTCAAGCTCGCATATTACACATGATTTTTATGAATGGGGTTTCAGTTTTTCCTCGTTTCCTTCGGACAATTTTCAAAGCTTCTTTTGGGCGCACATTATTGGAACCGTTGTTTTTATTTTTCATTTGGAACAATGTCGATATTGTTGCTTGTTGCCCGATGTCTTTGGTTTCGTTTTAGCTGTCGCTCGATGCCGCTTCCTTCATTTCGCAACTCGTTCACTTTTATGGGTTTTTATTCATTTTTCGGGTACGCTGTATGTCTTTGCCATTTTCTTTGCTCTCTGGCTCGGGCAGCGGGTGGCACACATGCACACGATAGAGTGTAAGCGAATTTCGCGTCCACGACAACGAATCCTTCGTTTACTTTCTGCTTTTCCGTAATTTGTTATTTGACTTGTTTTCACGCTCTCTCTCTCTCTCTCTCTCTCTCTCTCTCTCTCTCTCTCTCTCTCTATCTCTCGGACCGATTTTTTCGCTGTTTTCGCGCGCGATCTCTCTCGCCTTTTTTGCTTCTGGTCTATTTTTCAGTCAGCAGAAGTGCACACACACATCGAGTGGCCCCAATTCTCTCTCATACACGCAACAGTGGCAGCAGCAGCAGCAAAAACAATTCCAAAAATCTAAGCGTGAAGATTTATGCTTTGCTTTTTTTCTGTCTTTGGCCATTCCATGTGTCTGTGTGCCACACTCTTTCTCATTCATTTCTTTTCATTATGTTCCATTTCTTATTTTCGCATGGTTGTTCCTCAATTCGATCTATCGTTTGTTCGGGCGATTGCTCGCTCTTTTTTTTGTTCTCACCCTTCGCTTGGCCAACAGCAGCACCAGCACCAGTTGGTCGCTAGTTGTTTTTTTTTCCTCTTCGACCAGATTGTTGACGATATTCATCAAAGTGAAGTGAGCCAGCGAACGAGCTTTTGTTTGCGTTCATTTTCCCACTCTCCTCCGATTGCTCGCTGCTTTTTTGGCGGTTATTTTGCGTGTGCACACTTTGACTTTGTTGGTTTCATTCAAACGCTTTGGAGGCGATCCAGTGACACCATCGTCAACAGGACAACATTTCATATCGGCGAATGAGTGAAAATGAAATTGATTGCAAAGGCCAAACGAGAAAAGGCAGAGGAAAAAACGAACGACGAACGAAGCAACACAAAAAGCGGAAAACGAGAAATGAATTGTAGTCTGAGGCGAGATACAATTTGGTTAGATTAATTTTTATTTATGGGACTGAAATTCCAACTGGAGCCTTCTTGTTGTGTGATTTTGGCGGCGGCAGAGCATGAGTGAGTGAGTGAGTGAGCAAGATTGTCGTTGTGTGTGTGTTGCGTGTGTTTGAAAAACGCACTCAATTATTCTCACACGAAGTGAAAAATAAATGGTGCGTTACAATGCTTTTCAACCATTACAATACAATTTGTTCTCTGTTTTTTTTTTCTGCTCTCCCTGCTACTGCCAGCACTTTTGTTTGCTTGTGCATTTTTTTCACTTCTGCTCGATTCTTTGAATGTGCTTGAAAAAAACGTCGCGTTCCTCCATCCGAACACAGAGGCAAACTGTTGGGCAAAAGCATTTTTCCGGTGTGCTGGCGAGTGAACGAAGATCAATCGAAAAATGGTGCAAAGGTACAAAATGCCTTTAATAAATGGCAAATGGCTTACAAAGTGGTTTTCATCATGATTTAATCTAATTGCTAATGTCGTATGGGAAATAGTTGGTGATTTATCTTGCGGTCGGTTAAGCTTCGCTTGAATTTGTCAATTTTTTTTCGTTAATTCCCTCTCTCTCTCTCCCTCCTCTCACTCTCACTCTCGCACATTCTCTCTCAACACATTTACACCGAAGAATTTTACACGAGCCAAACGGAGAATAAAAAACACCGAGAGCAAACTGGATAGCGAAAAAAAAGAGATGCGTTGGTCGGCACTTGGTGGTCGTGCTCTCTTCATTCGCACAACGGTCACACGCTAGATTTTTCCTCCGAACATGTTTTAAATACATATTTTATTTGGTGCCATTTGTGCAACTTTTTTTTTTATATTCATTTTCATTCGGTTTTTTTTTCGCTTTCTCGTCCAATTTTTTTCTTTACAGTGCATCTACGGCTGCTACGTACACTCGGCCATTCTGCCAACCTTTCATCGCAGGTGCTACTGGTTGTTACAGGTATTATTGCCTACACACAAATTATTTTTCAAGGATTTCCATTTATCGCATCATTTACAAATTCCACGTTCTCTCTTTCTCCCTCTCGCTCGTTTCGTCTCTGGCCTCACAGAATCCCGACATTGTTCTGGTTCATTATTTGAACGTGCCCTATCCAGATGATAACAAAATGGCTGTTATAACCCCAAGTTTGGCATTATGGGGAGACAAAAAGGAGTGGACTAAAGAGGAATTGGTTTGCCAGCTGAAGCCAATGTGTAAGTGACATTAAAAATAAACTTAAGAATGAATTTAGAACGTCGAACATGCTATCCAGCATTTGTAATCTTTGACGCCTTAAGTTTGATTTTCACAAAGTTTAAGCTTGAAATTAAAAAAATTCATTCCGATTCTGTTGATGAAATAAAAGTAATGTTGGTTAAAGTAAAAAAAGTGAATTTTTGTTCGAAGGCTGGATAAAAATTAATTATTTTACACCACAAGTTCAGCGGATTGTGTAGTTGTGTGTTTCTTTCAATGTTGGCACTAATACATGTTTTCTTCTCAACAGTTTTTAGCGAGGATGAACCGGATGCAACTAACGAAATTGAAATCACTGTAAGTTTTATTGAATTAAGGTCATTTTCGATTCAATTCCGTTTTTATTGATTTGTATACTAAAAAAAATGCATTTCGAGTTCCAAGAAGAAACATCGAAATTCACGAGGAAAAAAATTATCTAAATACGTACATTGCATGTAATACTAAAATCGTTTTTGTAAACAAAGCGTCAATTTTATTGAATTTCATTTACATTGCAATGGCATTTGATAGAAAATAATAAATCTGAATCCAACAACATGAATCGTAAATGGAAGATATTCAGTAAATGATGCTCTAGCGGCATCTATACGGTAGAGTTTGGAAATTTGATTAAATGATTTCGTTACAAGGTTTACCCAAATATTGGAAATGGTATTTGTCAAAAGTGGCATTTCAAACGTCATTCATGATTCATGTTAGTGAACTTCCGATAGGGACAAACAGAACTCTGAAAGGTTTTGGATCTGTTGAATATAATAACATTGTGCTTCACAGCGTTGTCTGAATCAATTAAATAACCAATAAAATTAACGATTCTGAAACCAAATTAATGAAAAAAATGAAATCTTTTCGTTTGAACAGACGGCCGAAACGGTTGAAGCGATAGTTGCTCAATTGATGGAAAAGCAACGAGCAGCACGACAAGCGGCACTGGTCAAGCAATTGGAATGTGGTTGTCCAGATTCAACATGTGCCGATGGCAAATCTTGTTCGCATCCAATGCGACGGTTGAGCTCCAACAAAACAACCGTAAACGATAAACAACGTCATGTTGAAAATAATAATAATCATGTATCGAGCACCACACCAAATGTGCTCATCGGAACAAGAGTGAGTAGAGACAAAGAACTTTTCATTGAGCTTTTTTACCCAATAAATTTCTTGTACTTTATTTATGGATAAACCATAAGGCAATGTTGCTCAACAAATTTTACAAACAGAAAATTTGATGAAAATGATTCAAATTCTAAAAAAACCCTCCATTTCTCAATTCCAGCTCTATTCACGATGGGTTGATCGTCGAGGTCGTGATCAATTAACTGAAATCAGTAATCCAAATAATACAACAACGATGCATCAGCTCCCCAATAACAATGGTAAGTGGATCTTAAATTGTATCTCATATAGATCGCCTGGTTTACAGGCACGCAATATTCAAATGTAAACCAAATTTGATGTTCCTTAGGCAATTGTAATTCAGCAATCAAAGATATTGAATCGAATAATTCGATACATTTTCAAGTCATTCCAACGACCGATACCACGTCTTCGGTGAATTCGTCAGCTGGTTCGGCAAGCAATTTAAACAATAATACTCGTCTGTTGAACAGCAATAATGGCACTTTAACACTGACATCGTCAGCGGTTGCGTCGACGGTGGCCGCATCGTTAGCCAAGACATCGACATCGACAACTGCATCGACTGCATTGGGCAAAAGTGCAGCCACTTTGAATTTTAATCAAACGGCCGATAATCAAATTGTCGCGACCACAAATAGTAGCAATAACAACAACAGCAACAGCAACGCCACCAATGCCAATCACAATCAAAGCAATCAAATGGATAATGGACAAACGAACAATATACACCATCAAAGTATCGTGAATCATGGAAGAACGGCAACAACCGCAGCTAATCACATGGTTAATGCGCCAATCGTTACATCGACACCTCCTCTAGTATTGAGTTTGTCACAGGTAATTATCGCCAAATTTCCCATTAATGATGGTTTTTATTGGCAATTATTTGATTAAATCACCGATTTTCTCCCTTTTTCTTATCTTCTCTCTTTCGGTCGTTCATCAACTCATTTGCTTGGTCTTTCAATTTTTCGCTCATTCGTTCGTTTATTCATTCACCCAATCGGCCCACACTCAATCAATTCGATTCGATTCCTTCAGATTCAAAGTTCATCGGGCAGTTTATTCATACTGAATGGCCAGCAGCAGTCGTTTATGTGTCAATCCTCGAGTCAGTATACCCATCAGCATGGAACGCATCATTTGGCGGGCAAAGCGAGTAAAAATGAATATCATCGTGAGAATATGGTGTCACTTGGGCCAAAGCTGGAGACAATGGATGCATCGGTGTCACAATTTACATCAAAAATCCATGGAAACAATACGTATTTGAATGTCAGTTATGCGGCTCAATCAAATGCCACCACGATTATGAAAGATAATTCGGTGGTGGATCTACCGCACACCGATTCGATGGCATTCTTCAACGAAACACTTGAACTATCGCAAGAGGATATTCAGAAAACATTAAGTGCCAATATGCCGATGAATCCAAATGGAACGAATGCCCGAAACACAACGACCCTAAATGATACAACGATCCGAGAGCCCACATTGCATGCCGCTGATTTCATTGACGATTGCTGTGATGAAGGTAATATTGATGTGGTTCCATCGTCGGTGCACGATGACGACGTGTTTGTCAATTTGGATGCGTTCGATATGTTTGTCGAATTCCCGGAATTGGATTTGGATGCAAAGGCCTCGTTGAGCTGTCCCACCGACAGCAACATCATCGATATGGTTAGTGATGATGTAACCGATCCCATTCAATTGAGACAAACACATGAATCGGAATCCAGTTCGCGGCTTCTATCGAATGATGTCGATAATCCGAATGGAATCAACGATGATGCACAGCAAACATCACAATTTACCGCCACCGCCGTTCAATTGAGTGATTCGGAATCACGTGCTGATCTCTTTAATATCTCGGATTTCAGCCCCGAATGGGCATATCCAGAAGGTGGCATCAAAGTACTGGTCACTGGGCCATGGAATCAAAACTCAAACTATACCGTTCTGTTTGATTCATTTCCGGTGCCAACGACCATTGTTCAAAGTGGCGTACTTCGGTGCTATTGCCCGGCTCATGAGGTTGGTTTAGTCACATTGCAAGTGGCATCCAATGGTTATGTCATATCGAACTCATGCATTTTTGAATACAAATCACCGATGAACGCCGAAAATGGAGCCGCCTGCGATGGCACAACCAATGTGTCCAACAATGGTGACAGCCTATACAAATACACACTGTTCAATCGATTGGAATCGATCGAAGAACGTATGCAAATCAAAATGGAGCCATCCGACTCGGTATGTGTTACATTATGAATTTTGGTGTTGGACTTTTGAAAAATTTCAATTTTTTCATTTCTTTTCAAGCTCAATTTTTGTAGAGTCAAAATTTGATTAATTTTGGTCCCAATTTTGCATTCAAAAGAGAATAGAAATAGAAAGCTTTTTATCTAGAGCTCATTCTCTTCTTAGAAATGATCATTTTTCTTACTCAACAAATGCTTTTTTCCTTTCGATTAGACGGACGAGAGCAGTACATCGAATCGCATTGATTTCGAAGATCATTTGGTCAATTACTGTCAATCGCTGGCAACGAAACAGTGGCGCTCTTCGACTGAGGCGATATTTTGGACGAAAAGTGATAGCGTGAAAGGAATGTCACTGTTGCATTTGGCAGCCAGCTTAGGCTATTCACGCCTAGTCAGCACATTGCTTCTGTGGCGATCAGAGAATACAAACGCGGTTTTAGACACTGAAATCGATGCGCTTAGCCAAGACAATGAAGGATTCACCCCTTTGGTATGTCATTTTTTTTCGTATACTTATTTCTCTCGCATTTTTCTTCAGCTGTCAAGTTTTTCGAAAAAATAGAAATGAAATTTATTTGGATTTTGATTTTGTTTCTTTTATTGTTTTATTATAATGATTATTATTAAATAGATAAGCGTTTTTGAAATAAACCGTTGCGACAAAAAAAATTCCCTCAGAATATTTTAGTTTCAAAGTGCAACATGAAATTATTTTTATATAGAATTTACAACAACAACTCCATATGAAAAAAAAAACTTTATGTTGTACTTTGAAACTAAAATATTCTGAGGGAATTTGTTTGTCGCAATGGTTCAAATATGAATGAAATTATTTATTCGAGTAAATGTTAGTTGAATGATATTGTTTACTTCAATCTCTTCTTTAGATGCGATCGTGCGCCAAAGGTCATTATGATACGGCGATTTTACTTTGCAAATGGAACTCAAACGCTTTGGAAGTGAAAAACTATCGAAAACAAAGTCCAGTCACAGTTGCCATTGAAAATGGGTAACATTTTTTTTATAGCCATTTTGTGTTCTCTTTGTGTTCAGAAAATTGTTAAGTCAAACAATAAGAAAAATGAAGAAAATCAGCCTAAAACATTTAACTAAATTTTACAAATTTCAGTTTCATTGATCTGGGCGAAGAGTTGCTTCAATTTGAAACGAATCGAAAGGAGTCGTCAATTTCGTCGGCAATTGAATTTAATCGTTCGTTTATGCAGTCGATGTTCAAGAGTGAAAAATGTGAACTGGATGACAATAAGAAAGGTAATTATTTGGGCACATTTCCGGAGTTGTAGCTAAAACCCAAATTTCAAGCAAAACGATTTTACATCCGTAATTTGTGTGACTCGATTCGATCAAACCAATCAATTATTAATGATCTTTCATTCATGAAAAAAAAACGTTCGAAACGAAAAAGAATCATTTTTTTTCTAAATTTTCGTTTTTTGTTTTGAATTTTTGGACGAAAATTCACTTTGTTAATTCTCAAATCAAAGAAAGCATTTCAAATTCATTATCAACTTTCCAACAGGATTGACGGAAATAATAAATGACATTGAAAAAGGAGAGTATCTCAAAAGTTTAACACCGACATCGTTCAGTCAGTCAAACGAGTACTTGGAATCGGTTCTGTCGCCAAAATCGGTAGAATCCCAAACCAGTTGCCGCAGCCATGACGGCGTCTTTCTTCGGCCTGGTGAACAGCAGAAGAAAAGTTTAAGGTAAATTAACGCTGAGTTTCATACAAAAAGGTTTTTTGTGCAAATTTCCATTACGGCCAATCAAACTCACAAACGAAAAAAGTTAAAAAGAAAACACATTCGAACCAATTTCGCTTTTTAAAAAAAACTTTGAACAACATTTTCAACTGCTTTCTTGTCATTTTCCACCCAAAAATCACAGTTCACCAATTTCCTCGCTGTCAGGAAATTTGCCAACAATGACCAGTTTGTTGTCGCATCGCCTAATCAAGCGCACTTCCGTCGACAGTGGAATCAATTTAGACTTTCCGATTCCATCGTTTAGATCGTCATTATGGAGCCGATCGCGAAATTTGTCCAGTCAAACATCGTTAGCCGCAACGGTCAGCGGTTTTGATGCAAACGACTCATTTTTACTATGTAAGTATAAATCATTTTTCGACACATTTCTAGCTTAGTTTTTCGAAATCACACATAAAAAATATGCCGATTTCTTTTCCAAAAGTACCATTCTTATGTATAATAGTCTTTGATAACACTTTAAGAGATAAGCGATAGAAAAACAATTGAAAATTGCTCAATATTTCGAAACATTTAGTATTTAGACGTGATTCTCTTTCAAAACAACTAATTTCTCTAATAATTTTTCAATAATGAGCTTGTGACTGACTCAAATAGAAGCGTCCAAAATGCAATGCTCAATGTGCAGTTGCTTCATTCGAGTTATTCTTTTGATATATTAAAATGCATTTTCTCTTTTTTATTCAATTTCTTACTCTCGATACTTTTTTCTAAATTTGTTATGAGCACCAAATCACACCGATTTTAGTTTAAATTTTATTATAATTCTTGGGAAATTTGGCTATAATCAAGCGATGCATTCTTCTAAAAGACTGGCTAATTCTTATTTAGGCGGATTTCAATTTTTAGACTATGAAATACTTATCAATTTCTCTTTCGTAAATTTCAATTCGATTTTTTTCCGTCTTGATCGAAAATTTTTTAGCATTTGTGCATATTTTTCATTTATGCCTTCTAACTTTTAGTCATTATTTGGTTTGATTTACGATTTATGGCACAATTGAACCGTTTTTACTCTTATTTAGTTTATGGTTCTCAAGAAACACATATACAGTGAACGTTGGGAAACCTTAGGTAGTTCGTTTTTGCAGAAGAACTTAAGCAATGGAAGCAATACAACACACACACATACCAGAAAAACATAAGTTTTCTGAACAATTAAGATTTGTGGGACTTAAGATTTTCGAACGTTCACCTTGGAAAATGCTAGAAAAAGAAAACATTTCAAACAATTAAAATTTGTAAAAAAATCTCCATCAAACTGTTGGTCATCCAATCATTGTGTTTCTTGAGCTAGTTCCGAATATGTTCAATGAACGTTGTTCATTCATTGAAGCTTAAACTATTTTATAAGAGCCAAAATTCATGGAAAGCAATCAAACGTAGTTCGATGATGACGGTAAGTTATTTGGTGTGGTAACGAAAGCCACTTCATAAATATCGACAAAATATTCCATTCAGGCAAAATACGAGAATGAACCGAACCGGTCGCATTGAATGTGTGAATAAAAATGACCACAAATGTTCATAAATCGGCATTTAGAGAGGGGCTGGATTCCCATTAAATTCAATTAAAATGCTTAGGAAGGCGTGAATAAAATTATCTATATACACATATCTATAAATTTTATTGAATGTTTGCGTGGTGCCATTGGTGCATTGGTAAATTCTTAATTGTAAAGCATTAGGCGAGGAAACGGCTACAGCAAAACCACAGCAACCCATTTCCTTGGACGAATTGAATCAGCATTTGGTGAACGATGATCGGTCCAGCGTCGCAGACAATCCCATCGATGCCAATACTTCCAATAATGGCGATACAAATGTTGTGATGCAAGAAACGGTCGGCGGCATCGTTCAAGCCACCTTGTCTTCATACCATTTCTTGACCAACCCAAATCCACCTCTCCGCCCCTTCATCGCCTACCCGACAGCCTTATGTTCGATAATAATCCAATCTTCGATTATTATCCCAATGATGCTTTGGGCCATACAAATTCACTGTTTGTGTTTCATTTTATTAACCATTTGTTTTCGTTTTGAATTCGTTTGTGTATTCCATTTTATTGTTTCGTCTTTTGATTTTAACACAATGGTGCAAAATGCACTTGAATATCATAACATTTTAACCCATTACTTACCAGGCATTCGATTTTCCATACAAAATGTTTGATTTTTCGAACACTTGGTAGTCAATGGATTAAGTCTTTTTTTTTTTTTAATTTCATATGTTTTGATTTGTGTGTTAGATGTTGTTGTCGTTGTCATTGTTATCGATGTTGTTGGTCGTCATAAAACCGCCGAAATCTTGTCTCATTTTTGTGTTTCCCTACTACTTTTCTATTCGATAAAATCGCTTGTACAATGTTTTTAAGTCAATGTTTCACACGCAAGTTTTACCGAAAAATCTCCTCTTAATATCAGACATTCCGTTTGGCTGCATATTGAGCTGAGCTATTTTCAAATAGCTAGCTGTTTGGTACATTTTGACTTTGTGACGTGCGTGCCATTCAAATTCATGTGGAATATTGAATTTGTGACACCTTTTTCAATCCTTTTCACGAATTTTTTTGTCATAAATTCAACATTCCACATGAATTTGCATGACACGCTCGTCACAAAATCAAAATGTACCAAACAGCCAGCTATTTGAAAATAGCTCAGCTCAATATGCAGCCAAACGGAATGTCTGCTTAATATATCGTACTCCATTGCTTTAATGTAATCAATCTGAAATTCAAACGTTTGATATCGAATTTGTTAGATTTCATGTGTTTCAAGGAAACTTTTTTGTTGAATTTAAAAAGTATTAAAAAGTAAAGACAATGGGTGTGGCCCGGTTGTTGTTTACCTGTTTGACCCATTTTTAATCATGATTTTCCCTCTTTTTCTTATCAATCATGGTTACGGTAGTTTTGTGCACAAAAAGCGCTCCATTTTGATGTAAAACTTTTTCGTTGTGGTGTCCAAATTCAAACTGTGGATCATTTGAAAATGATTTTTTTTTTGACAAAAAGGCCTTTCAAAGCATTGAATTTGCTATCAAAAAAGAGCTCTAACGTTCTAATTTGTATCCGGGCATTTGAATGAAAAACTTTTCAATTGTTCAATCAAATAGATTTTTTATTCAATATTTCAAGCTATTGATGCAGACTATAATGCTAGCTATAATGACAATGAAAGAGTTGTCGCTAAAAAAATGTTTCCTCGAGACAAAAGATGAAGTCTTCAAAAAAAGTTGAAGAAAAAACGTTCAAATATTAACTCGCTAAATCATTTTCATCTGGTCAAATGCACATTGCTAATGCGTTAACATGATCTGTTCCGTGTAATTGAAGGCTCCTTGAATCCAAAAAAAAGCCCATTTATTTAGTCGTAATGTTAAAAACCTTGAATTATCGAATCCAAAGCAGATAAGAATAAATGTCCAACGTTCTACCCACTCTCTCTCTCACTGCACCGCATAGTCAAAACGGTATGGGAAGTGATACTTTCCGTCGTATGTACAATATTGCCCTTCGAAATTTTCCAATTTAGAAAACCAAAGAAATAAAATCCACTCAAACAAAAAGAAGCAGGTAGGAAATTCAATTTGTTGTGTTGCGCGATAATAAAATTCAGCATGGTTTCGTTTCGCATGGATATGTTGTTTGCTTGAAATAGAAACAAAAATTATTCTTGCTTTTATACGTTTTCTGCATGCAAAATGTGAGTAATCGTAATTTTTCTGTTGTAAGTTGGAGATTCGCACGTTTCTGTTTTTACCGAAAGAGAATTGCATTCTTGCTGCTGCTGCACAAAAAAAAAAAGTTCGATCGAAAAAGCGATAACAATTTGAAACAATTTTCCATTGACCGCTTTTCGAATTCCATGTCATGCTTGTTGCCTGTATGTAGCACTTAATATATATATGTATTTGCATATTATCCACACGAAATTGCATTTTATATCGGGCAAAACCATCCCATTGCAAGAGTTTTACCATGTAAGACCTATTTTGAATGGAAAAATTTGTCGTTAACAAAAACCAAGAAAAAAAACCGAAAACAAAAATTGTTGACTGAAATCACAGCAATTAACCATGACATTCTCTTTTCTCCTTCCCTCTCTCTTTTCCATTTTTCTTATTCTTTTTTTAATTTTTCGCTATTCGTTCAATTCAAATGGGTCACATCTCTCGCAGGGGATTCGGATGCAAAAGTGTTAACACTTGCCGAGCAAATAATCGCTGCGATGCCGGAGCGCATAAAGAACGAGTCCGATGACATAATGTCGTTGGGCAGCCCATTGTCGGACACATTCAATTCGGATACGTCGGGTTTGGGTGGTTTGAGTGATGCATTCATGGAACCTTTGCTGGACTCATTGCCAAGCAGCAATTTTGATCAGGATCTCAATTTTGAATTGAACGACTATCGTTATCATGATGTTGGTACACCATGCTCTAGCCTGAGCCCAGCTAGCTCAGGTCCACTGCAAAGTCCGGCCAGCTATTCCATAACAACCGAACCGTCGATTAGCACGGGTGCAATGAGCTCACCGTCACCACCGCCCACTACCGAGGATTTTACGGAATTTTTGCATGCATCCAGCACCATACTCAAGCCATTCGAAGCCGATTTCTCCAATTTAACACTGACTGATCGCGAACAACGTGAACTGTACGAAGCAGCTAAATGCATTCAAAAAGCCTATCGATCCTATAAGGGACGCAAGAAACTCGAAGAGCAAGACAAAGAGCGACGCGCTGCCATTGTCATACAAAATTATTATCGACGATACAAACAGTACGCGTACTATCGTCAAATGACAAACGCTGCGCTCATCATTCAGAACGGTTATCGTTCGTATTGTGAACACAAACGCTTCAAGAAATCAACACAGCCGAAGGGCGGAACTGGCAACACGGCTACCTTATCGTCCACACGGAATAACACACAATGCTTGCAGAATTATTACAACAAAAGATGGAAACAACAGCAGCAGCATCAGTCCAACAGTGGCGCTTTAAATAACACCAACATTTCCAAAGAGCCAAACACATCTGGCCCACTCAAGTAATCACACTGAACGGTTTTTTTTTTCAAATGTGTTTACTTCAAATCCCTTAATCGCCTTTCCTTTCAGACGTACCTATTCGCAACGAACTCAAAATCAAGCAGCAAGAAAAATTCAGCAATTCATGAGACAATCCAAAATGAAGTAAGTAATTGAGCAACATTTCTGATTGTACTTAGTTGAAAATATCTTCGCAAACGGACTTACTAACAAACTCAATGAATATTTCTCACTTTTAAATCGCCTCAACTCATCTTGACTAACCAAAAATCTGTAGTATTTGGGAAGATATGCGAACTTTGGTAAGGTTTCACATCGATTTTTCGCATTCATTCATACGTTCTTCTTTCAATTTAGTTTTGATTATTCATGATTTTGATTGCCAAATGTTTTCAGCGATGACAATTTGTCCGTTATAATTTATGAGAAATTTTTATTTTTTTCGTTTGATTTTTCGTTAGTTTCGTTGTTCAAAAACTAGTTTTTGGAACAGGTATTCTACGAAATATTTAATAAAATGTAAATTGCAAACGTTTTTTATTTCTTTTTTCATTTCCATCACAGTTTTACTATTTTTCATTTCTTTCCTTTCATAAAGGAACCTTTCATAGTTTCAGAATAAATTCGATGTTTTTAATAATGTTCGTTATACCTTTGGTGTCATTTTCATTTTTCTCCATAAAGTCGAATAGAATCGCATTTTGTTAAACCAAAAATGAGCGTATGTTTCTTATCATTTTGCAGACTACAGAAAGAACGAGCCGAAAAAGAGAAGCTGGTGCTCCAACAACGGGTGGAATACCATCAAAACTTGCCGTTTCATCCGCATCCCATGTAACGGGTACTTGTACAACGAATGCAATGCGACGAACTGATGTAAGCCAATTTTCACGCTCACTAAATCAATGTTCAATGGAAAACAATTCATGTTAAACCAAAGAAATGCCCAGGATGTGGTCGAGGTTTTGATAAATATGTTTGACAAATTTCAAATTTCCAAATTCGCTAATCGGTGACACTATATTCGCTGTTCTTTCAAAATGCGCCTTCGTGAAAATTACCCGAACCGCTCTCCTCTATTTGATATCATACTCCGAATAATTTAATTTCATAAATAGGTTTTAAACACTGAAATTTCGAATTGAATGACTTTCAAAAATGTTCATTTCTCTCTCTCTCTCTCTTTCTTTCTCTTTCAGTAATTAAAAAATGTTGACAAATGGAACCGATGAAGTGAAGGATTCCGAAATGATAAATACAAAATCGACTGGCACCGAAAAGAAGTGATTTTTATTATAAAATGAGTGCAATTTTAAAGCTAAGCTTATATGAAGTGTGGACAAAGCAAAAAAAAAAGTCATGGAAAAAGTGTGAAAATTGATGATAATATAGCTCATCAATCTGGAGTTCATGTGTTCAGAATGAAAGCAAAATCGAAAAAGGGAAAAAGTGTTACCGAAAAATGGCTTCCAAAACTCCAAGCGTTTGCAATAGCAGCCAACTCTATCGAATCATTAGCAAAATGGCATATGTGGTTGGCGTCAAAAGCGCAGACAAAATTGTATAAATGAATCGAAGACATGGAAATCGAATTGTTATATAAAACTTCGAAAAAAGAATGACAAAGCAGAGAAGAGGAAAGAAAAAAAAACTCTGAATTCAATTTTACAGCATTTTAAACTTTAAAGCAAGAAGAAGTTATTTTTAAAAAAAATTACATAAATTCCTATAAAAACGTCAGCCTAACGCAAATCAAAGAAAGAAGATGCAAAAAACACACGAGAAAATGTGACAAAAAAAAAAACAATAAAATTATCTAGAACAAGAAAAAAATATGTACACAAATTGTATAAAAATCCACACACACACAAAAAAACAAGAATTTTTTTTAAATAGAAATGTAGAGAGAAACAAGAAAAAAAAAACAAAAAATTTTATTTCCAAACTTTTGAATGTTGTTATGTTTTTCCATTATAATAATAATAACTATTCCCCTAGGTGATACGATAAACTTTTTCCGCTTTTTATTTTTAGCAGTGAACATATTAATAGATACAAGAAATTTGAAGAAAAAAAAAACTATAAAATGTTGATTATACACATTTAGAATGTAAAAAATATATAAAGAACACACTCACACACACTTCACTTTAGAATGGAAGATGGTTGATGAACATCAAGACGGTACTCGCATGAAAGAAAAATGAACGAAAGAAGGGTTTTTCCTACCCAGAATACCATTTTCAGATCAAATAGACTGAGTCCAGTCACAAAGGATTCTTTGTGGTGACGAAGAAGAACGAATGAAACCAGAGAAAAAAAAATCAAATCGAAACCCATTTTCATCATCTCTCAGTGAGAGACTCTCGCATATAGATTTTGATTTACAGTGGATTTTGTAAATATTTAAACATCGTTTTCAAGACTTTCAAATAACAACAACAACAACAACAAAAGAGTGAACAATGCTTGTAAAGAGTGAAAATTAAACGAAAAGAACCTAAAAAAAAAATCCAATAAAATGAAACAAAACACGAAAACAGGAAAGCAAAACAGTATTTTTCTTAAAAATATTTCCGAGCGAAGGAAGAAAAAAACCAAAATATGTTGTTAGGCAGAACGTATAAGAGACAGTTACATAAAAACAGACACATACACATCCAGAAAGTTGAAAGTATTTACAGTGAAAGGAGGGCGCGCAAAAAAAGCCACCTTTTTTCAAACATCTCTATTCATTTCTATGGAAGAAAGGACTCATGAGGAGGATAGAATGAGTATTTCTGTTTTGGAATGTATAGAATCTATATACTATAAATATGCGCCAGGAGTTGTCATACACATTTTAAAGCAGTCAACGCCACTTTGCAAACACAATTCTTTCAATTTCAATATTTAACCAACACATTCAAAATGTAAACATAAAACCAACTCTACTACAAACACACATGTTTGATTTAGAACGAAAACGACTATTTCATTCAAATTCGTTAGCAAAGAGAATAAAAATGAAGATTAAAACATTTTAAAAGACATTTGTTGGGTCGTCAGAATCGTGACAGACCATATCTCTCACTCACTCACTCTCTCTATATATATTAATCTCAACACTTGCAAGCTACAACTAAGAACTACTTTTCAAATTACAAATCAATATTCAGTAGATTTACAAATGCGTAGTGAGTTTTTCCGTTTTACTTTTTCGCACGCAAACGTTGAACTATATTCGGATTTTAATTGAGTTTTTTTCGATCACTTTTAGATGCGATTGCAGACATTTTTTTTCGTTTTTCTGAATTGAATTTCTGCCACAAAATGAGAAAAGGTGCAAAAATCTATCTAAAGTTTTAGTGCGTTTACTGTATTTTACTCTTCAAAAATCTAATATCAATACGAGGTATAGACAGTCAATTGCCGCTTGTTTTTATTCATTCAAACAACTGTAGATTTTATCGAATTTCGACTTTAGTTCGTAGAACAACACCCTCCCAAATTAAATCCTGTTCATTTTTTCCCTTCAAACTCGCTCAAAATCACTCTCTTTTCCTTATTTTTTGTTCGTTTCTTCGTTTTCAAATTGTTCAGTGCCAATTGAATGAATACTCATTGCATTCGACAAACAATTAAGAACACTCTTACATATTATTATGCCTTAAAACACTATGATTGATTCGGATTAACGTGTGCTATCTTTTTGTATTCTTTTTTATAGAATTTTGATGCAGTGCTTAAAACTGTCTCATTTCATCAAAACGTTGTGAATGGGATTTCAATGGCCAATTCGCATTTCTTTACTTATATTCAAAATATGGTTTACTTTTCTCTCCTTACCTGAACGCTGTATGACAACATAATTTTACTCTAACTTTAGGCAAAAGATGGAGAAAAAAAGCCTAGATGTCCCATTGAATGAAACGAAAAGTTTTCTTCGACTAGTTGTTAAACATAATAATTTGGATGCCGGTGAGAAAATTTTATGATGAAAAAAACGGTGAGCAAAACGGTATGTCAGGTTTGAAACGAAGCGTTTTCACTTCATTCCTTGGACCTTTCTGAAAAAAAGAAACGTCCATTAGAACCGTTAGCACCGGCAATTTGTTTTGGTGTGTGTTTTCTTCTGTTCAATAACTCAAACATCGAAATAGATCCAAACAAAACAATTGCAACATACTGGATTTATTAAATCATAAAAGCTGTGTTACATATAGGCAATTTAAGCGACGGAAAAAGAAATAATGAAGAAAACTTTGCGTAGAGACATTTTTGAAATTTTCTAGATCGTAGAGAATAGTGCAAAACGTAGCTGAATGTAGAGAAATGCTCTACAATATCGACAATAGAATTTTTTTTCTATTTTTTTTTTGTCTGGTTTTTCTTTTGAACAAGAAGAGAACATGCAAATCATTGCAATGCGATATAGCTCCGTTAAAATAAGAATTTGGTCAGCGAAAAAAAGAGACAAATTATAATCTGTACGGTAAATTAGAGTTCAAGAAATTGGTTTCTATCACCCACACAGACACTTATACACACAAATACGCTCGATCGAGCAATTTTCTATCTGAAACTTATCTATATGACTATCAATTTTGAACGAAACAGAGAATTTAATCATCACGATCCAAAATACGTAATCACAACAACAGACGACATGTCTTTTTTCGTCGAATCGGAATAAATTGACTCAAAGCCATGAGCCAGTTTTGCAAAATGCTCACGATGGTACTTGATGATGTTGATCATGGCCACCTCGATCGAGATAATATCGTACGAGATCATGGTATTTGAATTGCATCTGGAATGCTAAATGGCTCAACGAGATCGATGCGTTTTTGAAATTTTGATGAAATTGCGCGTTTTCCTCGAGCAAATATGCAAGATCATCAACACTGTTGACTCAACTGATACTGGTACACAAGAGTATGCCGAGTATCAACAAACCGCTCAATTGACGACACGTCAAAGCACTAACATGGGTGAAGAGGTGTGCACTAACGCGTTTGAAAATAGTGAATGCAACTCGATCGAAGTGGTAAAAATCGAATGCCAAGGCTTGATTGGGCAACGGAAAGAGAAACGAATTTCGATCTTAAATTACTTACTTTTTGCAAATTTAAAGAGCAGACCTACACACACACACATTTACTTTCTCTCAATAATCAACTATATCATATATGGTTAAGGTTATTGTAATTAACCTAAACCAAGACACACAAACATCTATTCAGTAACACGTTGACTTCAAGATTTTACACGCTTTCATAGCATCTATTTAAGTTGAAATATTGTATATTCAAAGGGAGGTGTGTAAATGGCAAATGATCGCAATCCAATGAATCAAGCGGTTGAGAATGGCGACAATATGACCAGTTTAGCCATCGATATCTATCTCATTCTCAAAGCGAGTGTATAGTCCGTTCTTACTGAATAAAAGTAGCTTACAGCTATCAATTGTTACTCAAGCAAGAGATATTGGTCTCTTTTCGTTTGCTCTCTCTCTCTCTCTGTGTCACTTGCTCTCCATTTGTTTTGACAAATTTGAGTTTATCCACCTATGCCTATTCCATCATAAAAATATCTCTAGTTATGTATAATACACTCAATACTAATATCTATCTCTAAATACGGCCGATACGAAACAATTCATTGTGATCGCATGAGTTGAGCCAACGAATATGGGCTTCTTAAGGCATGTGGATTGAAGACATTGGCCAATTGGCTCTTTGATTTTTTTGGCATTAATGTGCACTCATTTAGGCAAAAGTGCATATCATAGCCGGTGACAGCAGGCGCTAGTGATGAAAGCATTTGCAATCACAACCGAAAATGCCAATGAAACACATGTGAAAGTATGTCACTTTTGAAAATGGGTGACGTTTTGACAGAAAAAAGAGTTTAAAAAATCGAAAATGGATCGTATTTATACTCAATATAAGCGTAGACAATGGCATATGGTTTCTGTCATATCCAATATATAGCAAATTTTTAGCCAAATTGTTACGAATTTCACCAATAACGAACCACTATACCCCGATAAACACACACAGCTTTATCCCATTGAGAGTGAGCACGTTAAATCGATTCAAATGTTTGAATCTCTAGGTAACCGATTTAATCTAGCACAAAACACACACACACACACTCAATACATATTCAATTGCGTTGTTATTTGCGACACAATTCGCAATTGGTTTCGATCTTATACTTTATATATTCTCTCTAGATATTCAACGAAAAGCGAACGAGTCAAAACCAAAACCAATACAATTATATCAATTCCCCTTTGTTTCTTTGCTAAACAAAAGTAACACAAAACAAAACATGTAGACAACAGATGAACATTGTACACAACTATCTAACTCTATATACACATAACTCTATTTTTCAGAAAGTATGAAGACAAAGAATGCACGTTTCCGAATTCAGTTTCTATAAATCTTTCGGTTGAATCGCGATTTCATTTTCATTTGCTAATTTCTATCACTCCCTCTTTTCCACAATAATGGCACTGGATAAAAAAGAATGGACAGTTGATCGTGCCATGTTTGTATATAAATTGTTCAACACTCATTACCGAACTCTGAAATGGCTGAAACGGATCATTTCATTGTTCTGGCGATAGAATCCGTGACAAATAGTAAACGATTTTTTTCTCTTCAATTTTCGTTTTCTTTTCGACAAAGAGATCACGCAAATGAATATAGTCAGTTCTTATGTATTTGAAGCAGAAGTTTAGATTTATTAGATGAAAGGAAAAAAAAAACAACAAAATTAAATGAACAACAAGAAGAAATGAACATAAAATCAAATCAAACTTAGTAAATAGTCACTATTTTTTAACTCCTTCTTCACCTCACTATCATATAGATAAGAAGATAAAAACAACTTAAATGAATACCTAGTAGTTTTTTTAAAAAAATTATACAACTTAATTGAAACTTACTAAACAAACTGGAGAAGAAAATAACACTGTTTTCGATGGACATAAAGACAGCCGACGGCGGTGGAGAATGGGAGTACGCGAGTTGCATCACATTAAAAAAGCGTGGAAAAAGAAGCAAATCAAACAAAATTGATACAGAATTCAAAATACGTGCGAGAGAATAGCTAAGGAATTTTTTTCTTTCGTTCTTTGGACAACAGGTCAACCATATTATAGTAGGGAATGTAAATATAAAGTGCACTTTTTAACAAATTTATACATAAAATTATAACAATTTATTATAGACATTTAAAAGAATAAAAAAAAAAACAACTTGAGAGTAAATTAAAAACGGGAAAAAAGCAGAAAAAAAAACAAGAACATTGAAAGAATAATACACAGCGTTATTCGTTTGAATAATGAACACTTTGCACCAGAGCATTTATCTTTGACTGGTACTTTATTTTAAAATATCACATGTTTCGATTTGGCGCAAAAATTGCCTGACTTGATGAATGAGTCAGCGTTAGATGATACAGACACATACATTGGCATCATACAGAACCATTTGTGTTACGATGATCGATTGTTATCTAATCGACGATTTGAAAATGTTTTAAAATCGCACCTCCAAAATTGTGTCGCCCTATAGGATAAATTGTGCAATATTGACCCGATATGTCGACCCGCTGGATTTGAAATCTATAGATCTATTAGATGATGTATCATCTTCTTTCCCAGTCCATTTCCAACGATTCGATCATTTTTCAATGGGCAAATGGAATGGTTTAAAATTAGCTGGTACTGTTTCCAAGGCGCACAATTGCCCGTGCTCAATGATTGCATCGTCTTGTTGCTCATACACGATCTTCTGCACACAAAATATACAAGAATATACTTGTATATTGACAAGTATATACTTGTATATTGAGAAGATTCTTGAAAATAGTGCCTCAACGAAATCTTCGAATCGAATTTCGGCTGCAAAATCGATTTTCGATTGAACGACATTCGATGAATGTTTCCTTACATCGTTTTCCACACACACACAGTGTCAGTGACACACACTCATTGATTGTTTCCAATCCGGAATAATCGACTGTTTAATGGAAAATCGATTAAGGACAAGAGACTCTATTCACTTCCGGGGTCGAATGACAAACGCAAAAGCAATATAAAAACAAAAGAACAAGAAAAAAAAAGAAGACCGAAACAGACAAATCGGACAAAAAGCCGCTAACTAAAGCCAAGAATGATGCCATATGCATGGCTAACCAGTTATATTGTACATTATTATTGTTGATTAATTTTAGTTTTATATTTGACATGAAACAAACAAAAACAAAAACATAAAACACAACAACAACCAAATGCAAAAATTAATGAAAAGAAAAGGAGAAACGTACTTTGAGAGCATCTCTATATGAATGTGAAAAATGAAAACACAAGAAAAAGCATTATTTACAACAATTTCTCATGATTAAACACTTTATCAACTAACACACTCTATTCCGAATATAATATTCTAGCACTAGATCAAATCAGGCACCGCATTCGAATGAGTGAGCTGCATTTCCTTTCTTCAATTCTTTTTTATTCGAACTCGCTTCTGTTTCGCGGTTCTTTAATGTACCGTTTTGTTTTCCATTTGAATCGAAGAATTTCATGGAGATTCATCATTTGTTCCCTCTTTTTTTCCCTATTTGATACTGAATTGTTATCAGAAATGATGAATCTAAAGAGGGGAATGTGCTTTCGATGATTTCATTTCTGTTTGTGACTTTGGACTTCATTTCATTCAACGACTTAACTTAATTTTCGATTTGATTGATTTCTTAGCTTGATGAATTGGTCTTTGACACAATAAATTTGAAATGTCATTTCAAATGGCCGAAGAAATCACACTTCATGGCATAGCAAATCGGATTTGAAGTCGACGAATCAAACAGAAGAATATTTTAATGCGAAATGTTCAATGAGCGGCAAACAACAGAAAATGTCCATTTTTGCGATACAAACGAGATAATGAGTGTGAGGAAACTCTGTTGCATTCCCTTGCAAATTCAATTAACACACAAATGTAGACGCCACTTCTTTTAAAAGACGTGGGCAATTCAATTATTGTGTTTTTTTGGGTTCAAATTGAAGTAATCATTCGCAAATGAGTGCATTTATTTCATTCATTCACTAATTTTGCAACATGAACATAAGTACTAATATATATAAATAAAGTCTGATTTAGGGCAGTTTGCTGCAACGAAGAAGCATTCGCTTCAAAATATGAATGATATGTGTAGGCAACGTGTTTTTTTTCGGGGATTTTTTTTAGATTTAATTTTAATAAAACAGAAGCAGAGAACATTTTTTCCTTCATTTTTAGCGAGAGAAATAGAAAAAAAACACTCATTCAACCGAAAAAAATGTGATTAAACCACGAAAAAAAACATTGTGAATGAAAATAGTGAAATTAAGGAAATATTTTTTTTCTCGTTGAAGCAAATTCACGAATTTCATCTTTAGGAATTAATAAAAAACAAGAACAGAGAAAAGAATGATGAATAAAACACAACGTGCAGCAATTAGAAGCGCATAAGGTGCTTTGGAGATGAACAAAAAAGTAATTTTGCACTTGCAGACAGTGAAACATTTCTCCTCTCCCTAACAATCACACAATTTTTCATCTCTTGTAATCCTAACGCTAAGGAACATTTGCTATTGCATCAAAACCAATACAATTTTATCTTTATCTATTATAATCAAAGAAGAAAAACAACAACAACAAACAAAGAAATATTTCGCAATTTTCGACTTTCGCTTTTCGAGAAATGAGTGAGGTGACAGATGATCCCCTTGCGAGATTGTTGATTCTCCTGTATGCAATTTCATTACTTCTGTTTTATTTTCTTATCAAGGCTTCTTTCAATCTCCCAAGATTTCGATCAAATGCAGAATGATCATTCGCCTTTGATTGAATTTTTTTTCTCTGCAAGAGAGAAGAGGGACCTTCATAGTCTCAAATTGAAAGCTCTTTTTTCGGAATGTAAAAGAATCGAAATGAATGGAAAATGTGCGAGATAATGGATTTTTTCTTCCTTCTTTCGTAGCCTCCATATGGAATGAATTTAATTGCATTGTACGGATGCAACTAGCATTTGTAATTTAGTGCTAAAGCTTTGACTTTGCACCACCATTCGGTGTTTGGTCGCATTTAAGAATTTAAAACTCTTTATTCAAATATCGACAATTCATTTTGATTCACAAAAACACACATCAGATTTTCCCCTATTGTTTTTGTTTTGGTCTTACGAATGAGCACTTTCGTTTTGACTATCAATTTACACATAATGTGAATGAAAACATTTCCTCATTCCTTTCAACATTTAATTCAATTTGAGGGAAGGAACAAAACCATATGTGATTGCAATGAAAGTCGTCTCTGTGCGAGAGGCGAGTATAAAAGATTGAAAGTAGATAATTTAAAGGAAAAAAAAGAGAAAAAGCATGGCCGTGATTCAAATTTGTATTAGATGTTTTATTTCGAAAGGAAAACGGTCATTTTGCGGACTAAAAATTTTAGGATTTTATTTGGTCTCTCGTTTTTTAACATAGAATGAAGAAAAAAACACATTTTTTCTAACTTATCGCGAAGAATTGCAATAATTATTTGTGGAACGGAAAGAGACAGGCACTTCTTAGGAGAAATCAAATGGCGGACTGTAAATGACGTATGCAATGAAAGGAAGCAACACATTTTTGTCAATTTAAAGCATTTTTTTTTTGGCTAGATTTGATTTACTTATGAATTTGAACTATGGATTTAATGTCCATTGAAATTGACTAAAACATTTAGTTTTTTTTTCATTCTCTCACTCACTCACTCTCTCTTTCTCTCTCTTTCTTTCTCGTGACTATTTCAGTGCATTTAGGAATTTTAAGATATCTTTTTGGGCATATACATATTATATGAATTGTTTATTGTTTCGTAGCCATTTTCATTCAATTTATTTTTGATTCTCCACATCTCTTTCAACCGTTGCCACTCGGATTATAAATATATATATCAATATATAAATAAATCTCTTTAAAAAGCTTTACTTTAAAAAAACATCTAAACATGGTTTGCAGTGCACATAGAAAGTGATCAAATAGAAACGAAAACTATTCGCTAATCCAACATTGAATTTTGTATATTCATCGTCGATAGTTTGGCGATTTATGGGTTCTATTTGACTAAGATTGAATCGAAATAACAACAACAAAAACCAAACTGGATAGCAAACTTTCACACTTCCTTAATGCTAATCGAAACATAATAGTTAGTGCAACATTTATTTAGAATGCACATCAACACACACACAAAATGATGATGATGATGATGAAGAAGAAGAAGAAGAAGAAAGAAAAAATCACGAAAACATCTATTTACTTATAAATACAAAACCGAAACTATGCATGCCAGTGAATAAAAAGAAGCAACAACTGCAAGAGAAAAAAAAGAACGAATGGACAACATGAACTTAGAGATTTTTAATATTCTCCCCTTTATACTTTTTACCGAGTCACATTATTTAGATTACGATATCTAATTACATTGCTAAATACAAATTAAATTATGATTATTATTGCAAACAACAACAACAAAACAACTGAAAACAAAGAAACTTATAATGAAATAAAGAAACTTGTTCCAATGAATCTTCAAACCAATAAGAGTGGACGGCATTTTTTCTTTCGTTTTATTTCAAATATTCGGAATTTAATTAAATATAGGGTTTATTGCAGGGCATGCTTGAGATTGCCATACAATTTTGAACTAATCGACCGGTAAAACGTAACGAAAGGTAAGTACACACCTGGGTGGACGCGATAGGCTTTGATGAAAGCCTACAAAGATAATTCAATAGTTCAATTAGTTTCATTGCTATGACAAAAAAGATCCACTTTAACGTTGTTGTAGTCGTGAAGCTTCATTTAATTTCGTGTAAAAACATCAATCGAATTTGTCAGCATAAGCGATGTCAAACGAAGTGTGGCTCAATACACTTTTTTATTTTACTGTTCCAAAACCATAAAAAGTGAGAATTTTTCTATAACTTTATTGAAGCAAAAGGTAGAAATAAAAGTTGTGTTAATTGAAACGAATGAAAAATGACATAATAAAAATGTATTTCTCATCGACACCAATGTCAATATCATGATGTAAAACTCTTTATTTCAATGCTTGTTTCATCGTTACACAATTTCTTGTTGTTTAATTTTTACGTTCAATTTCATAATAAGATGACCTCTCATTTAGTGTAATCGTCCATTTGTCTTCAATGCGAGCCTTTAGCGCATCCAGTTTTCCAGCTGATTGTGGAAAACCATAGTCATTCAAACGAAGTTTCTTCAAATGTTTGCTCTCCTCCAAAAGTCGAACCAATGTTTCTACTTTGACATAGCTGTCACAGGGTATAGATGCTTCAATCAAGTTTGTTGCTCGTTCGCTTAACAAAATAAGATCATTATCTGAAATGGAAGATCCTTTTACGATTTCGAGTTTTTTTAAATTTCGATGTGGCTTAATAAAATCAAGCCAAATAGGGAATCCATGTGGATCACAATGAAATTCTTCGAGGTCATCGAAAGTGATGTTTTCGAAACGGTCTGTACCATCTAAGCCAATTAAGGAAAACTTTTTAACATTTTTAAAGTGAATCTCCCCCGTATAGTCAACATATTTGATGGGACAAAGAGTCAAAACATCTAAATTCAACAAGTGTTCGCTTGCAAATTTAACAAAGCTCGTGTTAGTGTTTTTGAGAGTAAGCTCTTTAATTTGTGGATTCTTCTCGATGAAATTCTTGAATACATCACGATCAGAAATATTCGGATTCGCAAATATCAGTTGTAAATATCTCAAATTGGGAATATTAGTGACGCTATCATCGACGTCTTTTAGTTCAATGTCACCCAAAGTCAAATTGTGTACATTTGGAAACATTTCATTCAGATTCAATGTTTTACTTCCCAATTTATTGTATTTTCCTTTGAAGGCTATGGCCTCTACTGTGTTAAATCTTCGTTGGACATCATCCAAAATATTCCAGTTGCGGCTTTCGATACCTAGCAACGTCAAATTGGAGCACTTTTGATCTATAAGACCGATAAGCTGTTTCAATTCGTTTTCATGAAATTCGTTATCGATTCCAAGTTGTAAAATGTGTGATCCAAAATGTTCGAGCACTCGAACAGCAATGCTGTGGTTAGAAATCGAAATGTAGCGATCATGTACCAACGCCTCATTGTTAGATACATTAATGGATTGTTTCATAAGAATGGGTTTATTTGCAAATTTTCGTTTGAACACATCGGCAGCTGCTAGCGAGAACTCTTCATTGGTGTTAGCCGCATTCAACAACTCACAGAAATCCAATTGTTCCAAGTCTGTAAGCTTCGTTTCGTTCGTCTTTAATTCAGAAGTTGAAAAAATACAGTTTAATTGTTTAATCCACTTGATTTTTTGGAATTGGACGTTTAATCAAAGTTCACTGTTTTCCTTTTCACCACTTACATTAAACGATTGTATTTGCTTTGCAGAAGCACTGGAATTGATTGACCAACCGCATAGAAAAATGAACACTAGAAACAAACTGATTTCCATTGTGTTTAGTGATTTTTATTTTGCAACGCACAAGTTAGAAATACTGCTTGCAATGCAACTTTGCTTTCTTTTATACTTGGTGATTATTCTGTCGTTCTGTCTTGATTCGTTGACAATTTGCGACTACTTCAATTCGTCATATTATGTGACTTAAATATATTCTCTCATCTATGCTCGTTGCGCGTTTTATTCAATTGGCTGATTGTCTTTTTTTGCCATCTACCAGCATCAACGCTTCCTGACGCATCGAAATTGGATAATAGCCTGTCTCTTTTATCATCACAATGGCATTTGTATACATAGCACGAAAATAAGGCAATTTTCATTGATTAAATATGACTTGTTTTTGTTGAAATGATACAGAGAGTGTTAGTTTGCTGCCGAGAAAACCTGAACTTAGCTGAATCAGGCACCTGAAACGTTATTTTAACGCATTCACAGGGCTAAATTGTCATTGCTACACACACAAGAGTAAATTGTCAAAAGTAGTTGAACGTCATCGCAAGTCATGATAACCTATACATTTGAATGGGGCGATGACGTTAACTACTTGCTTTTGTTTGTGTAACAAAGATCCATGTTTCTAAATTTTACTGAGGTGGGTATTTGCAAACAATGGAAATCTTGCAGCGAGAATGCTTTAAAATAACGCTTCAGGTGTCTGAAACAGTAAATTCAGCTCAGCTCAGCTCAGGCCTGCCCAGCAGTAATGTGGATGCTGCGATTGAAATGACAAAATTGTCATGTTGATAAATTGGAAACATTTGGATTAAGTGAATTGAAGTAAGTGTGTTACTTCTGTTCCATTCCGTTCCGTTGTGCGTTCAGTGTTGTTGTTGTTTTTTTCTCAATCGAATTGGAACGTTTCTTCTTGATTGGTCTATTTACTTGTCATTGCAATCGCAGCATCCAATCTCATGAATGCTCGATTGGTTTTATTGTTGAATTTTTGTTGTTAGTATGTGCCTATTTGTTTGTTAAACTTACTGAGGAAGGAAGCATTGCTTTCGAAATAATACGCATAAGAGAAATCTTTTCCCGTTTGTTGACTGCGAAAGTCCACTACAATGCAAATAGAATCGAACATTTTTGCAAGACATCGATATAAAATACCCATTTATCAATACCACCATCGTATACTTTCTAAATTGCACCACTGGTAACACCTCAGGAAAGAAGAAATAAAATCGAAATAAACATGACATATTTGCAAGGGTGATTGATGATGTTATATTCTTTATTTCAACGCTTGTTTTACTGTTGCACAATTTCTTGTTGTTTAATTTTTACGTTCAATCTCATAATAAAACGACCTCTCCTTTAGTGTTAACGTCCATTTGTCTTCTATACGAGACTTTAGTGCATTCATGTTTTTAGGAAAACCATATTTATACAACTTAAGTTGCTTTAAATGTTTGCTCTCTTCCAAAAACCGAATTAATTTTTCCACATCGACGCCATAACCACATGTAATAGCAGCTCAAACCAAATTTGGTACTCGTTCCCTGAGCAAGATAAGATCATTGTCGGAAATTGGACTTGAAGTTGTAAGTTCGCTTAAATTCCAATGTGGCTTAATGAAATCAAAACAAATCGGGAATTCACTTGGATCACAATGGAATGCTTCAAGGTCGTCGAAAGTAATGTTTTCCCAATGGCCAATGTAAATGGGGTAGATTAGTGAAAATGTTTTGACATTTTTAAAGTGAATCTCGTCCGTATAGTCTACGTATCTGATGTTACCAAGAGTCAAAACATCTAGATTCACCAAATGTTCGCTTGCAAATTTAATATAGCTTGTGTTAATGAACATGAGAGTAAACTCTTTGAGTTGAGGATTTTTTTGAATAAAATTCTTGAATTCGAGCTGAAGCCGGTCAGAAATCACCAATTCTAGTTCGAAATTCCTTAAATTGGGAAGGGCTATGTTGACGCTATCATAGTCTTTTAGTTTAACGTCATACAGACATTCCGTGTGACTGCATATCGAGCTGAGCTATTTACAAATAGCAGGCTGTTTGGTACATTTTGATTTTGTGACTATCGAACCATGTACATTCATGTGAGATGATAAATTTATGACAAAAATTCATGGAAAGGATGGAAAAAGGTGTCCAAAATTTATCATCTCACATGAATTTGCATGGCTCGATAGTCACAAAATCAAAATGTACCAAACAGCCAGCTATTTGTTAATAGTTCAGCTCAATATGCAGCCATACGGAATGTCTGACGTCACATAACGATAAATTCTGAACATTGGGAAACATTTCGTTTAGATTCAATGTTTCACTTCCCAGTTTATTGTATTTGCCACTGAGAGAGAAATCTTTTACAGTGTGAAATATCCGCTGGACATCATCCAAAACATTCCATTCGCTGCTTCGATTGACCCTCCTTATCTAATCCGTAAATGACTGAAAGATTCGAAATGTGTGATCCGAAATGTTCAAGTACCAGAACAGCTATGCGGTGATTCGAAACCAAAATGTAGTGATCATATACGTACACCTCGTCCTTATTAAAAATACTGGGTAATTTTCGTTTGAACACATCGGCAGCTGCCAGCGAGAACTCTTCATTGATGTCAGCCGCATTCACCAACTCATGGAAATCCAATTGTTCGAGGTCTATAAGCTTTGTTTCGTTCGTCTGTAATTCAGGAGTCAAAAAAATGAGCTAAATCAACTTGATTTTTTTCCGAGTTGAATGTTTATCCAAGGCTCACTGTTTACTTCTTAACCACTTACATCAAACGATTGTATTTGCTCTGCAGACGCACTGGAATTGATTGACCAACCGCACAGGAGAATGAACACTAGAAACAAACTTGTTTCCATTGTGCTGACTGATTTTTATTTCGCAACTCACAAATGGGAAATACTGCTTAGAACGCAACTTTGCTTCCTTTTATACTTGGTAATTCTTCTGTCGATCCGTCTCACTTCATTTAGTAACACATAATGGCCCTGAATCTATTTTTTTGTCTATGTGCGTTGTGCGTTTTTCGTACACTCAAATCGCCTGACAACTATGGAATAAACTAACAACTATAAAACACTCCAGTTCAGAGCGGATATAAAACTTACTAACACATGCACAAGCTTGCGACTGACTCGGAGTGACTCAGCAATCACTAATGATTATCGTTTATGAATGAAAAAATGTTTGAATTCGTGTATGGATTCATTGGTTGGATGGTTCTCATGTAATTTTGTAATTACTACTTATAATTGGCAATTTGGTATCTGGTTTATTTTTCTCAACAATATAAGTGAACTGCAATCAATTTTATCAAAGATTTAGTTTTTGCCATGTGCTCATCACTTGCATTCAACGGAAAAAAAAATTCTTTGGTCTTGAGCACATGTGCATAAACACACATTTGACTACAACCTGCTATGTTGGTAGATCAAAACATCTTTCGAAAATGATATATTGGATTATGGGCAATCAATTCACCACTACCAGAAAGTACATTATTCAAATGTGGTTGAGAATAAAGTGACTCTGTTCGAAACCACCTGGCAATTGGCCATGATGTATTAAAGCTACAGGAGAATTATTTATTAAACTATTATATGTTAGTCGCGCCATTCTCCAAAAACCGTCGACTTTGTAGGCATGAACGGTACTATTAGGTAGAAAATAGCTCCTGTAAATTGGCTGTTCATTTAACTTATTGTGCGCTATATATCCGTTAATTGCTGAAACGAAATCCGATGCCAATGTTCCCATTTCAAGGCCAACCATTTCGTCTTCATCAATTGTGTTCATCCGACGGATGAGAATATTTTCGCTCACAGTGCCCAAAGCATTTGTATCCCGCATTCCTAAATGATATAGAATAGTTTCGCCAACGGCAGGACCGCAAGACTGGAGATGCGTTTGTTTGCAATGCCCATTTGAACCCGTGAGCATAAAAACAACGTATTGACTCTTCGCCGATGAATACGAAACGCAAAAAAATCGCCGAACAAAGTGAAACACCAATCTGTTATTGGATCAATATGAAACATGAAATCGTTGGCCACTATTTTATTTACGTTGCGCTTTGTTTCGAAGCGCGGCAAGTGTTTCATTTTGTTCCAGTAACAGAACGTTGTATCACTTTGTTCGGCGACGCGCTCAATGTACTTTTTGAAAAAATATGCATGATTTGATACAGTTTTGTGCGAGTGCAACATAAATTCTGTTCGCTTGAAAGTGAATCGTGAAATATCGGCTGACTATAGAAATTGTGTTTCAATTTTATTGAAACAAAAATGTTTGATACACTTTTGAGTCCATTGGTATGATGATTCATTTTAATGGTGGTTTTGGTCGTGATTTGTCTATGAAGTGAAAATTAACTGATAAGGAGCGCGAATTTCGATGTGCCGATAACACCAATAGAGCAGAAAAAAATACTATATGAAAATCGAAAAAAAAATTTAAACTTTTTTTTTCGACTGTTGCCTATTTCGGATCGTCTACATGGGAAGTTTGTATGAAATCCTCGGAACGCGGGTTCACGCCGCTGTGAATACATTGGTTTATATAGTGAAATCTATACATGGCCAAAACACGGACGCACAACACCCATTCTATTTCGCTCACACTTACGTGCAATTTTTACCCGTATAACAAAGTAGTCTGCTTTACTGTTAAAAAGATGTGCGCAGTAAAGAAACAAGAACGTACATGTTTCAGCAACGTTAAAGTGCGCGTAAGTGTGAGCGAAATAGAATGGGTGTTGTGTTAAAATGAATAGTTTAATATACCAATGGACTCAAAACTGTATCAAATCATGCATATTTTTCCAAAACAGTACATTGAGCGCGTCGCCGAACAAAGTGATACAACGTTCTGTTACTGGAACAAAATGAAACACTTGCCGCGCTTCGAAACAAAGCGCAACGTGAATAAAATAGTAGCCAACGATTTCATGCTTCATATTGATCCAATAACAGATTGGTGTTTCACTTTGTTCGGCGATTTTTTTGCGTTTCGTATTCATCGGCGAAGAGTCAATACGTTGTTTTTATGCTCACGGGTTCATTTATTCATAGTGTTACGGTTTTATGCGTCATAAAATTGTCATCATAAACAATTTCACAGAAAACGACAGCCAGAAAGCATAGAAAAATTGACAAAAATAATATTTTCATTGCAAAACTTTGTAATAACGAATTCACTAAAAAAAATTCAACTTTGGTTACTTTTAATAAATGGACTGTTTTTATTGAAGATTTTATTTGCCATCAGATTGTTTAAAAATTTGATAAAAATGTCTCGTCTTTACTCAGTAATAATGCAGCTGACAAACGACTATTAACCATCCAGCAGAGACTCCCATTTATATAAATCTAATCTCCCTTGATTAAATGGACACTTGAACACGAGTCCACATGCTATTTTGCTGCTGAGCTAAATTGGGTGACTCAGCCGCCTGAAGCGTTATTTCAACGCATTCACGATCAAAGCCAAATATTCTGATCCAAAGCGAATGACCATGCGACTAACCACATTCAGAAATTAATAATAGCGAAGAGAGTTTGGAATTATTCTCAAAAAAATTTTGATTGCTCCTCAAGTGGTTCAAACATACGTTAAGTGTTGAAGAAATTTCAAAGGAAAAGACAATGATTAAACTATTAAACTATTCGTAGTAGATTTGATATTCTATTAGGCAATAAAAGAATGAACTCATAACAAATTGATGAGCACAATGAAAAATGTATTCTGAAACTATCGTCCGTTAGCGTTTCCACGAAATGTTGTTGTGTACTTCAAATCGTATACTATTTCATGGAATCAAATTGGATTGTCGAAATATACTTTACGCGGAAAAATTAATCAAAACCGAATATTTCATTTCAAGGCGAATCAGCATGCAACGAACGCTGTTGACGGCCCTTTTATTTTCTGCAAAATGGAATAGATTCCAACGCATATCACGATGAAAGAAACAAAATTCACAACACAATCCGTTTGGTACAACATAACAACTGAACATAAGAGTATTAACGCGTAATTGGCTTGTTTTCTGCAGAAATGTGTCTGCAAGTGGATCACATTGTTAATCGTTTCTTCTGAATTGTGATTTTTGCATTTTATATTGACCGATTCGCTGGAATTTCGATTCGAACAGAGAAACATCCTATAAATATGATGGGAAGCTACAGTGTGGACATCAGTTCAGTGCAAACACGTAATCCGTTCGTTTGTCCAAACGTTCAAACAAAACAACTTCATCATGAAATTCTTAGTAGTAGCTTTGTGCTTTGCCGTCATTTGCAGTGTCACTGTAAGTTGAACTTTTCTGTGAAATTTTTCAAATCCACTCTCAGAATTCAAAGGAGGCAAACTAAAAAACATATAGTGTAAAACATCAAATTGCCCACTGTTTTTTGCCATTGTAGGCAAAATGTCAGTTTACCTACATTGTTAATACAATGGAACACCGTTCCACCAAAAATGTAGGTAAACTGACATTTGGCCTACAATGGCAAAAAACAGTGAGCAATTTGATGTTTTACACTGTATGTTTTTTAGTTTGCCTCCTTTGAATTCTGAGAGCATGGTGTAATTTTGTGTATTTTTGCTATTTAGGCCTTGACAGAAAAAGAAATACGCGCAATTAATGAGTGTGCTGCTCAAGCCGGTCTCACTGCAGCAGATGGGGAGTACTATCAGAAAAACCCCATGGCAGCTCCTCTCGATCCAAGAGCCCAAGTAAATTTAATGCATTATTCTTGCTTAATAATTCCTTGGATGCAACCAAAAATCCAACTGAATTTTATGATTATTTTTCTTATAATTTGCGCAGGAATTTGGAGCATGTTACACCGGTAAAATGGGCCTCGAAGGTGTTTTGCATACTTTAGGATCAATATTGGGCTAACATAATATATTTCTCATCCTAAAAATCAAGGCTTATGTGTCGATTTTGAAGAAAAATAAATGAACTTTTCCGCATTATTTCCAAAATGAATGTTTTAATGTAAACGAATATTTGGTTTTTTTCTTCTCTTTTTAAAGAAAAAATAATAGAAGGAATTTTCTGACTAAGTGCTTCAGCTTGATTCCATTGTTAAACTGAAGCCTCCAATTAATGAAATAATTATTATTCAAAAATACAACGTTAAAAGCCAGTCTACTTGTGGAACCGAGCATGTCACGCGAAAGTATGGAACAAAGCAAACAAATAAATGTGCAGAAAAAGTGCATGCGAAGCGTTAAATTTATTGTAAATGACATTTTCTGAAAAGTTACAGTAGGGAATCTCGATATCTTGAGCCGTTGCAGAGTTATAGCGCAAAAACCAGCGGCCTTTCGGGGCAATTCTTCGGCCCGCATACGACCTGTGGCCGTTTCTGTTGTTTGTTTCTTTCTCTTCAAGTGGCATTTGACGAACGGCCATCTTCGTTTGTAAAAAGCTGATGAAAAATGTCTATGCTTCATTTAATTTCGTGTAATTAATCGAATTTGTTAGCATTAAAATGTCAACAAATGCGTAGCTCAATACTTTTTTTTATTTTACTGTCCCAAAACCAAAAATAGGAAGAAACACACTTCCTTGCGATTGCTTGGATTCTTTAAATTTTCCTTTTTTGTCGTACTCAATGAAGCAGTGGACTTGTCGGCACACTCGTGGATTTAGCATTTCACTTGCTTTGGCGATTCGTGAGTTGCCGAAGCATCATATATGCAGTGCACTCGATATTTAACGTGAAAACCTATATTCGGTACATCGAAGTTGGCCGAGGTATGATTTCGTTTGCGCGTAGCGCGTAAGCAATTCACTTGCGATATAA